CTGTAAGTTCAGGACTTGAGAAATTCAGGCAAGATGATCAGAAGTTCAAGGTCACCCTTGGCTACATAGTGACTTTAAGGATAGCCTGATTTTAATGACCATGTGTGACTAAAAAGAATTTTTAATTGAAAATATTATGAGCAATGAAACATTTAAACAGGAATAGGTGAAGATCTACATTACAATTCATGAGCCAGTTTGTTTTTTAACTGATTTTTTTTTAACTTTACTAAGTTTCCTAGGGTGAGGGGGATCCATAATAATGATGTATAAGTAGCTTATATAAGGAACTTATGCAACGTAACTGCAAAATGTTCTTAAATAAGCAGAAGATTTGAAGACATTTGTTTGGGGATATAATGGCACACATCTGTAATCCCAGTACTCAGGAAGCTGAAGAAGATTATGAGCTCAAAAGTAGCCTGTGTTATACATTGTGACCCTGTTTCAAAGTTAAGTTTTATATGGATAAATAAATACATACCTAAGCATGTGTATGTACATACATATCTATAATGCATAAGTTGTACAAAGACATAAGAAAAATCACTCAGGGAACACTAAAACTAGTAAGTACATTTTTTTTTTTTTTAAAAAAAAAAAAAAAAAGAACAATTTGTAACCAAAACTTTAGTTTCAAGGATTCTCACAAACATATTACAAATGACAACATGGAAAAGAAATCTTGCACAGTAACTCAAAGGTTCAGCTCTACAATGTACCCTTACACTGATAGGACACTGGTAACTTAAAGTCTTTCATTTCCAAATAAAGAATGTTACAGCTATGCGTCCATATATAGCAATCAGTAAGGAACCTCTGAAAGCCTTCAGGGTGCAGTTCCCATCCTTTACCTGATAGCTGGTGTTCACTAACAGCTTTTAAAGACTGCCTATCATTTTACCCACAGCTCCACACCATATCCCAGCTATTAGACAAACTAGAGCTTTATTGCATTTCTGCCATTGGTTTCTGTATCATTAGCACAACACATTTTAACTGGGCAGGATCTATGTTTACTTCAGTATATGAAAAACTAAAGTTCAAAGCAAATTTGAACAGCTAAAACATCTTAAAAATGCACCAAGATTATGAAGTCTCAAACAAAACTTGAATTTCCTGTACATACGCCTGTCAAATGAAGTTATTTCCTGTACACCACTTCTTTAGCAAGCTGGTCTTCTACTTCCTTTCATTTGACCTAGATCGGCTTACGAGACCTAGAGAAGGACCGAGATGGCTGTGGCTTCTCTCCCAAGACAGAGTCCTTTCTCTTCTTCTATCTCTAGAAAGTGACCTGCTTTGGCTTCGAGAGAAGCTTCTCCTTCTTGGAAATCTTCGCCAAGGTGGAGGACTCCTCCTTCAGAATCTGGCCTAGTTCACGCAAAGAACCAAATTTCTGCTCTGCTTTCTTTGTTGCCAGAAAAACAGTAGCATGACAACTTAAAGAAAGTAAGTAATTACCATTGGCATTATAAAGGAAGGATGTCTAACAGAAATGTTAATGTCAGTAATCCTTGAGAATGGTGACTTTGGATAGTAGAAAGGACTTACTAGTACTAGTATTCACAAAGAAAGAAGACATTTGACCAATCCAATGAAAGCCAAGTCCTTAATCTGAACAAACTGTGCCCCAGTGATATACAATGAATTTTAGCTATGTCTACACCATGACTGTCACCTGCTGTCAAGATTGCCTACCATGATGGATTCTTATTGCTCTAAAAACCACAAACAAAAAAACCCTCCTCTTTCTATAAATTGTTTTAGCCAAGGTGTTGGAACTTAATGAAAGAAATCGCTATCTTTTTGTTACAGCAAAGACAAACCACAATGTGGTGATCCTGAAGCTTTCCAAAATGGCTTACACATAATCCTAATGGTACCCTGGGAGTTCAGCTCTTCAAGGCCATCTCCAGAGTTTGAGGAAGAAGTCCACAGAAAAGCAAAACTGAGCTTAAAAGTCTTTATTCGTCTGCCTATTTTTCTGTCCTCTAATTTTCTTCTAAGTTCTAATTCTTTCTAGTTCTCCTTTGTTTCAATACTTCTTTGCTTCTCTGTTCACACCATTTAAATACATTTTTTTACAGGAGGCTTAAGGCAAAAAGTTACAATAATCTTCATTAGTCATAGAACATTCCCTGGGTAAATGATAAGGAGCTGAGCCATTTACCATGGCAACATGGTGCCTGGCACCTCCCCAGGCAGTGGCATTGAAAACATCCCAAAACCCCAAACCCCCAAATTATCTTATCTTGTTTGTAACCCCAGAACAAAAGGTGGGGGGGGGTTACTTTGGCTGCAAGGCCAGAGCATCCTTTGTTGTCCTGGCTAACTGTGACTAACTATGAACCTTTACCAGCAGTAGCTGGACATAGGACTAATTCTTTTGGACTTCGTTAATCAATTGATAGTTATTTGGAACCTAAACAATAAACAATTAGTTACTTAAAGCTTGAGTTTTATATCATAAATTGAGGTTAGAATTTTGTGTAGAGTTTTAATTGCTAAAAGTGTAGTAGGGAATGCTGCTGGTCCTTTTATCAGCTGGACCTGGTGACTTGGTGGGGGAAGCTAGCAAGCAATTCAGCTCACTTTTATCTCTGAAGGACTTTGACTCAACAACCTAGACACTTTATAATTCTGACCTTGAGTATAATCTGTGTAAGTCCAACTACTTGTCTATCCACAGAGACACTACATCTGGTCAATACACTGTGTCAGCTTAGCTAATTATAAAGAACAAGCATCTAATGAAGCATATTCTAGTATTTTTTCCTCTATATATAAAAATTATATAGCTTGATGAGAAGTCATCTTCCTGGCCATCCATAGATACATGTACCTGTAAGATTGAGATGCAATCATGAGATTACATATACATATCACATGAGATTACACACTACAGTGCAGGTAATGGGGAGACACCATAGCTGCTCTTGCATGTGTGAAATTACAGACAGGAACAATAGTTTCCAGAGATGGTCATCCTGCAGGCCCTGCCTGAACAGGATTCCATCTGAATACTAGCTATCACCTGCTGTATCACAGCCCTCAACATAATCCTCACATTTTTTTAAATAGCTGACTAAACTAAACAATCCCACACATCTGACTAAGAAGTGAGAAAGTAAACTGTTGCAGAGTTTAATGTCTCCGAAATAGTTACTCACCAATAATGTTAAGAAAATGTTTAGAAAATAATTGTTTATCTTCTTGAATCAAAAGACTTTAATGAGACAACATTCAACTGATCTAAGTTCAATGTTTGTGTCCTCTCAATAACACAGGTGGAATTTAGAAATAAGCAAAACAGAAATAAACCAAACTCTATCATCTAATAAGTAAAACATCTGAGTCCATCATCAAAACTAATTATTCGTTACTGATGAAAATATAGTCATGAGAATTTACTAAATGCACAAAAATAAGTTACCAGGTCCACAGACAGCCTTAATCTATTATTTATCAAACTAAAATTAATATGAAATAATGAACCTACTCTCAGGGAGACTGTTCTTCACTGCACCAACACTTTATAATATTTTTTATTCCTCAAATAATGAAATACTAAGATTTATTTTCTGGGGCAATGGCTCTACAGTTAAGAGAACTTGCTCTTCCAGAAACCCACCATCCACATCAGCCTACAATGGTCTCTCACTCTACTTCTGGGAGATTCGGTTCCCTCTTCTGGCCTCTATGGGCCGCAGGCACACAAATAATGCACTTACACGCAAGCAGGCAAAGCACTCATACATATAAAATAAAATAATTATTTTCTAAATGGAAATAATGGAACACCATGGGCAAAAGGAAAAATAAAAAATGGAAACTTGGTTTACTCAAAAATAACCCATAAGCAACATCTTGGTTCAAGATGAGCAACGAGTTCCAGGGATTCAGATTTCTTGAGTGGACTTTTCAGTTACAAAGCTGCCTGAGTCTTCTGTACTCCTATAACCCCAAATATACTCATAGGTTCTCTATGCTATACTTGGAGTGAATCTCTTTAGGCTTTTAGATGTCTTCCTTATCTGCAGTTAACATAGACTTGTCATGTCTCCGAAAGAAAAGTCACACAGCAGTCCCTTAACTAAATAAAATATATGAAAAATAAATAGCCATCTCAAACTTTCTCTACGATATACCCAAAGGCATACATTTTTACCTTGAACAGCTAGAGGTTATAGGTGCCAACTCTATGCAACAGAAAATCTGTAAATAACCTCAGACTACCTACAACACCAAGAGAAGGTGGTTATTAATTTACAATAGTACAGTATGTACCACAGCTAATATTATGTAGCCACATTGCATCTTTACATTTATCTCCATTGTGAATGGCACCATGTTTAGTCTGTATACTTAAGCACTGATACATGTTAACTTAGCAGATGTATATACTTTATAGTACTGAATGTCAAGACTATAATCTACACATATTTATGTATTTTTGTTAATACCGAAGTATTTTATGCTGCACAACTCCTCTGAATTAATAAAAAAAAGAATGTTACAAATACACACACACACAAAAAAAAAAAAAAAAAATCTGCCTATCAGTGGACCAAAGCAATCCAAATCTTTGTTGTATAATAAATAGTCAAGTGTATACTATTCCAGTGTAGGCACAAACACTGAGTATCTTGGAATTTTCTCAAAAGGGTCCCCTAAAACTGGAACCCAGGCAAAACATATTTTAACAAATGTGATGCACGCACAAGTACAAAATCCATCTTATACTTTTCAAAGAGACTGAGCTCACTAAATTAAGTCTCTCAAAAATAATGTATATTTATTTTAAAAGGAAAAATTTCTCATTCTTCACAATAGTATTTCATAATAAAATAAAACAATCTTTTCAGGATTCAGTTATTTTATTTTATTACAACCCTTTTTTCCAAAACAAGTAAGTTGAATATAATTTAACTGCCAAAGCCAAAAAAACAATTTAACTGCCAAAGCCAAAAAACAAGCACATGAACTATCCAATTATTTCTCCAATTGTTGCTTAACATTTTACAAAGGAAGTGCTCGACAAAATAAACACCCTACATAATCCACAGGGGTGCAGGCTTTTAATTGAAGTAACTCAGAGATTCAGTTCTGGAAAGATCTTCATTAAATTAAGATTTCATTGAAAAAGAAAATTAGGGCTGCAAGAATATTTATGAAGCAGGAATAAAATACTGAAGGGAGATATCATCATGAACCAAAACGAGATGAAGCAGAGTATTGCTCAAAATATTACACAAGGCCATCGTGGGGTTTATCTGTTGCTGTCCTTCGAAAAACAATAGAAGCTTCCTGTTGTCCACTCTCACTTGTACCATGTTCTCTGGGTCTTTACCTTTGGTGACATTCAGAACGGCCTCTGGAGGATTTCCAAGATTTTTAAAATAGCTTTTAATAGTCACCATATCCGTTTCTACACTCAAGTTCATGTTGCCGTTTAGATTTGCTTCCACCAGCACACGATCGCCCACATTTGCCATCCTCTCCACCATGCTCTTCAGGGTCTTCAGGGCAGGCAGGGAAACACTCACATCGGAGGCTGGAACCCGGGGCTCTGCACACTCCTTCCACCACCTTCTGGGAAGCACCTTCACAGGCAAGTCGTGGACCATCGCACGGCTGTGGCCGGGGCACGAAGCCAGCTCCACCACCACAGTGAGGCAGGGACGCCTCTTGTTGGTGAGCTGGAGCTTCAGGGATGAAGCGTGGCCCGCATTCCTCACGGCTCTGGCCAGATGCTCAGACATCAGCTCTAGATAGATCTCATTGAATTCCTCCGAGACACCTTCCATGCAGAAGTGGCGGAAGACTCCCCGCCTCACCTCACCCCACAGCTGGGCCTCACCCAGCAGCCCAGGGGGGCAGAAACACAGCCTGTCGGGACACACGCGGAGCACACAGACCTTCGCCAGCCTCGCCACAGTGCCGCTGACCAGAATGAAGAGCTCTAGAATACTCTTGCTGGTGATCTTGGCCCGAAACTTCATGGCTTCTGGCTGGCAGAGGGAGTGCTGTGCAGAGAAAGCTGACAGGCAGGACAGCTGGTTCGCCCTTCCGGCCAGGAGTGCAGCCCACTTAGCCTTCCGGGCTGGGGCGCTGCTGGTTTACCTACCCAGTCTGAGGTGACCCCGCCGCCCATCCCTCTAGCCCCAAGACTGCCTACACTTTGGTTCCACCTGAATGCAGCCGCACTTCCATCTGAGGCAACTTAGGGCAAACACAATGGGAGAATGGCCTCTGGACGCATCCTTACCTTCCCACCTGCCTGTCCTATTTGAATGCCTCACTGCTTCTGGTAATCTTATAACAAGGACACTCTACACAGTGTGACCACAATTAAAAGCACCATTAAGATAACCAGCCCTTGTAAAACATTTCAGTACGTACATATATACATACATACATATATACATACATACATACTCCAAATATATATAGCCTCGTTCAATCCGGATGTTACTTGCAAATGTCACACAATGTAATAATTTAGACATGCACTTTACAACCTGATATTTGCATCCAAAATACAGATATATAATGGATATCATTCCACACCATTAAAAAATAACAAGTCTATATCATTTTCGTGGCTTTCCATTATATTGATAAAATAATTATTCCACAAGAGGAATTCACATGATCCGATTTTGATCTATTAACAGGATAACAATGAATATGTTATCAAAATACTTTTACTTTTGTCAATATTTACTTGCAGCTAGGTAGTGGTGGCTCATGTCTTTAATCCCAGCACTGTGGTGGCAGAGGCAGGTGGATCTCTGTGAGTTTGAGGCCAGCCTGGTCTACAAAGTGAGTTTCAGGACAGACAGAGCTGTTACACAGAGAAACCCTGTCTCAAAAAACAAACAAAAAAAAAAAAAAAAAGAAAGAAAGAAAGAAAGAAAAGAAAAGAAAAAAATTTACTTGTATTAAATTTAAAGGGAAAATCCTGGTCATAACATATACACATAAAACTCTTCTATGTTACCAAACTGTCACTAAGAAAATTCTATCAACATACCTTCCCATCAGCACCATTGTATAGCAATCTACTTCGCATGCAGCAATGTGACGGGTAGAATAATATGGCTTTAATTTGTAAGGTAAGTATGTCAATTTTACTTTTATGACTTTTCATGGAGTTTGTTGCTTGACTTTTAAGATCTCTAGTAAGGTCCGCCTGGTGACACATGCCAATAATTCTAACACTGGAAGCCAGAGGCAAGGAGGATCACAGGTTTAAGGAAAGCTAGGGTTACATTCCAAGGCCAGTCTAAGCTATATAGTGAGATTTTAATTCAAATAAATAAATGAATAACAAAAGAATAAAAATCTCTGGCAAGAACATTAGCCCTCTATCCCTATAAACACTGCCTAGATTAGTCCTTGGCTTTCATATTGTTTATGGTGCTCTTTGCACTTAAAAAAAAAAAAAAAACTAGACATTTATAAGTTAAATGCATTCTTTTCTCTGTTACTCCCGGAGTCCTGAACCATGTGAAATACAGAATATGCAGCTCAAGCTTCTATATTGATTCTATTACAGTAGAATGTATGTTTAGCCCCATTGTTTTCAACAAGGCAGGATTTCATAGTGATGGTGCAGCCCTTTAAGGTCTCTTGGAGCCACACGATCTGATGACTGGTTACTTCTTCAGTTTACTTCTGGCCCAAAATGAGTCCTGAATCTCATCCCAATCGACAGCTGCATCCCAGCTAGGAGATTATACCAATCAGTGGCTCTATGTAAACTTTAAGCTCCTCTTTGTCTCAAAGTTACTGTTCTACTGCTGTAAAGAGACCTAGGCAACTCTTTTTGGACAAAATGCTTAATTGGGGACTTGCTAGCAGTTTAAGAGTTGGTTCATTTATCATCATGGTGGGAAGCATAGAGATATGGCATTAGAGCTGTAGATGAGAGCTTGACAACCTTGATCCACAGGCAACAGAATCGGCAGAAGCAGCAAAGAGACTGGTCCCGGCATGGGCTTTTCAAACCTCAAAGCCTGACAGCAACAATGTACCTCCTAATCCTCCCAAACAGTTCATCAACTAAAGCTAAGAACATATATGAGCCTATGCGGACCATTCTCATTCAAACCATAATACTCTTAGTGACCTCTATCTGTCTATGGGTACCTTCAGGATTTCCTCTAACATGTTCACCTTTCTCATGATCAGATTATTGAAGGTCAGACATTTCAGGTGTTCATGTATCACCTGGGACACAAGGGAATGTATGCTTCTGTACTTACACTGTGTTCTATCTATTAAAAGGCAGAGACCCAGTCACCACCACATAGAGGATGACTCCAAGATTTGCTATATCTACCTCGGGGCCCTTATACTTTTTTTGAATTAGAAGGGGACTACAGTATATGGTACCTAGCTTGTTTCTAAAACTGAACACATTGCAGACGCCAGTCCATGAGATGGATGTTCAGGTCAGCATCTACTATAGCTTGGATGTAAAGTGTCCCACAAAAGTCGATGAGTTAAATGCTTGATATTCAGGGTGTGCTACTAGGAAGTGTAGTGGACCTTTAGAAGGTGGGGCCTAGCCCTCAGGCTACTGGGGCAAGCATTCAAAGACACTGTGGGATCCTCACCTTACTCTATTTCTTTCTGCTCCCTGGAACATGAGAGAATTGGTGTTGTTCCTCCATGATACCTGCCAAAATGTGCTGCCTGCCCTCAAACCTTCAAGTATATGAACCAAAATAACCCTTTTCTCTTTGCAATTGTCTCAGGTATATCATTATAGTGACAGAAAGCTGACCAACACAGATGAAAGGGCAGGTTGTTAGTACAGAAAGGAATTTTGAAATGGGATGAAATTTTAGGCTGGGATGGAACAAAACAAAATAGAATGGGATGATATAGAATAATGGGTAGGATGGAATGGGATGATATAGAATGATGGGTAGGATGGAATGGGATGATATAGAATGATGGGATAGAATGGAATGGGATGATATAGAATGATGGGTAGGATGGAATGGGATGATATAGAATTGGGATAGGATGAAATGGGATGATATAGAATGATGGGTAGGATGGAATGGGATGATATAGAATGATGGGTAGGATGGAATGGGATGATATAGAATGATGGGATAGGATGGAATGGGATGATATAGAATGATGGGTAGGATGGAATGGGATGATATAGAATGATGGATAGGTTGGAATGGGATGATAAAGAATGATGGGTAGGATGGAATGGGATGATATAGAATTGGGATAGGATGGAATGGGATGATATAGAATTGGGATAGGATGAAATGGGATGATATAGAATGATGGGATAGGATGGAATGTAGAAATGGAATGGAATGTTAGGATAGGATACAATAGGATAGGATGGGATGGAAAGCAAAAGGAATAAGCTGCAACACTGGAGTGAAATGGGGTGATAAAATGGATGGAATGGAACAGGATGGGGTAGGATGTAATGCCTATTTACATTACTTATCTGTTATTACATCAGGTACTATTTCCATTACAGCCTTTGACATGTAATTGTGGTTGTAAGCTGTTAATCCTCACATCTATGTCATACAAAAGCATGGTTGCAATGTTTGTTTTTTCTCCAAACTATTGCACATGGTATGCTAGTTAACCCAGTACTAAGCAACCATGGAAAAGGGGCTGCTATGCAGACAGAGGCAAACCTCTGTACCTACCTATTTGTCTCTATATGTGTAGGGAAACGTGAGAAGTACAAGAAGGAGATATGTTAGGGATTTTCATATTAATTTTTTTTTAAAATCTAAAGTTTTTCATTACTAGAGGAACACAAGAGAGTGATCTCCAAGATTTTTGCATTCCAGATCAGAAACTGAAAAAAATTTTGTAACATTTATATTACTAAACTTCAAGAATAGCCTTTACAATATACTCAGACTTTAGTATATATAAAGGTATCTTAATGGAATGTGTATTACTGAATTAAAAGTAAAAACCAGAAGTATATGCATTATGTTTTAAAACTCATATACCAAAGAAAGATTAACAGAAAAAAATATCATATAACTATACAGTTTTGAACTGTATATATTTTTATTGGTAAGCTTCCTTTTAAAGCAGGGCTCTGACCAATGTAGCAAGTAAGCTATAAACTGCAGCAGTATACTGTAATATTTTCAGCTACTTGAAAATTAAAGGTGAGATAGGGTGGCTTGAGTAAGAATGGCCTCTATAAACGCATATATTTGAATGCCTGCTCCCCAGGTGGAGGGACTGTTTGGGAAGGATTAGAAGGTTTGGCCTTGTTGGTGTCACTGAGGGGCAGGCTAAGGTTTCAAAAGCTCACAACCAGTTAGTGTAAGATCTCCCTCTCTCCCCGCTTCTCTCCCTTGCATGCTCTCCGTTTCTCTGAGTGCTTCTGTCTGTCTCTCTCTCTCTCTCTCTCTCTCTCTCTCTCTCTCTCTCTCTCTCTCTCTCTCTCTCTCTCTCTCTCTCTCTCATTGCTGGGCCTCAGGATGTAAGCTCTCAATTATTGCTCCAGCGCCATGCCTGTCTGCTTGCTCACATGCTCCCTGCCATGATGGCCGTGACTCACCCTCTAATTGTAAGCACCAATAAACTCTTTCTTCTATAAGTTGCCTTGGTAATGGTGTCTGTCAACAACAACTAAAAGCAAGTAAGACATTAGGGATGGAAGATGGCTCAGAGGAGCATAAGGACCTCATCCAGATCCCCAACCCTTAAAAAGCAGGGCACAATGGTATGTACTTGTAATGCCAGTCTTGAAGTGGAAGTTGTCTCAAAAAATAAAGGTAGAGCCCATAGAAATATGTGTGATGTCGATCATAGGCACCACACACACATATACACATGCATGCACACATGCACACATGAGATGAAAAATGCAAAATGAAATTCTTTTACTACCTAGAAGTAGAAAAGATTTCTAAGACTTACAAAACCCTTAGAATGAGAGGAACAGAACCATTCTAATAGTTTTTGAAACTGTTTGCAAACATGCACCATGATATAACAAGGTTTTACTTACTAGACGCCAATAATAATGAGGGATTTT